TTCCCCCCCCCCCCCCCCCCCCGAAAATAGCTTTGAAACTGAAAGTGGGTTCTGTTAAACTATTTTTTAGCAGCCTTAGGTAAAATCCTATGTAATAAGAAAGCTGTTCTACAATATGCTGTGATTTGGTTGCAGTGTACTTTTTTTTAAAAAACCAATGAAGTCAGTAGGAACAGTTTGTTGACTCCATTGTGCTTTCCACAAGTAAAGTTACAATTAAAATAGTAAACCTAGAAATTGTAACATTTTATAACCACATGTTGATTAATGGCACTTATACATTTTTCCATTTAGAGTGTTTTATTGATTTCAATGTTTGAGTCGTGAAAATTGAATGCAATAAAACCATGATAACATGAACTTTACTGTTCCTTTCCTTAAATCCTTCCAATATTTTCAGGTATTGGAATGAGTGCTGGATGGGTGCATCCTATTGGAAGACTGCTCAAGGATGGTTACATCAGTGTCACCAAATGCAACGCCATTGTCAAGGCAGTGTCGAATCACTTCAGGTCAATGTGCTTACCTGGGGCTGTCAATTCTTTTTATAATCCTTTTGGTGAGTTCCATTTTTTCCCCCCCCATGCTGGTATATATAAAAATGTTCAGCAGCGCTTGTACCCCCCACCGTCCCAAGAGCGTATATTCTCAGTTTCAGGGGTAATGAATTTGCTCATTTTTCGAAATTAGCAAACCTAATCAAACTTTGATTTCCATAATATTTGTTTATTTACCTTTACGCATTGTTTTATGTTATTGTCTGAACCTCGTTTCAAAGATATGACATCACTTTTTAGAATGCATACTTTTTTTCCTTCTAAAATACTGCTGTATTGGCAGGGACTCGGGTTAGGGAGTGCACAAAAATGGCTGGGGCTGGAAGGGTTAATTGTGTTTTGTGTTGTACACAGAAAGATCTTCAGTTTACAAATTGCGTATGACATAACACATGGATGTTGATTTTAATTTCTTGACCTCAGTGTTGATGCCGTTTCTTTTTGTCCTTGATTGCCATTAGTCTTAATCCTCGATCATCTTTACTTCACTAAGTCACATTGAATACTGTCAAAGGCCAAATGAGTTATTTTTACACTGGTGTTTATGGTGTGGTGGTTAGACGCTTTTCTGTTGCTTGCAGTAGACCCGAGTTTGAATCTCAAGTGGGTAGAAAAATTTTATCGATTACCTTGGTCTTTGTGTTGTAATGTATCCCTCCCAGCCTGGGTTGGCTTGGACAGGAAGGGTTGAAGGCCTTCCTCCTAAATTATCAAAACTGTATCGATGGGGGCATACAAAATCCTACATTTAAATAAAACCACTGTGTATAACATAATTGATTTTTTCTTTTTGTCTCAAGGCAACAACCCAACATCCGTATGTGAGCTGTGCCGGGGTCACAACAATGAGTTCTGTACAACGAGTGACCGTTACGCTGGTTACGATGGTGCCTACCGCTGTGTTGCGGAGGGAGTTGGGCAGTTAACTTTCCTCAGGCACGACACCATTTCTATGATGACTGGAAGTGTAAACGGGTCCACTTCTGACGTGAGTGTGGGCTGTAAAGGATGTAGACCTTTTATCAATTTCATGAACAAGAAATGAAGAACATTTTTGTTTCACATTTATCTTTTCTTTTTGTTTATGAATTTTGTTTATACTACAGCCTCAATTTACTTTTTTCAGTATTTGTTGATTTTAATTTTCAAGGTTAATGATACTGTTGAGTCTCCTTATTTCCCCCTATTATCAAATCAGTTTTTTAAATGTTCTTTTTCTTGTTGTTGGTTTAAAAAAAGCTAATTGATTTTATCTTCTTTATTTCCTTTTCCAACAAATTTTTATCTTCTCTTCGCAAAATAATACTCATTTACCTGCTATGAGGCATGGATTAAGTATTGTTTCTGTATATGAACAGTGCAAGATTTTCATTTTTTAGATATTTTCATAGCTGTTTAAAAAAATATTAAACTGGTCTTTTGCTCTCTGGCAAAAAAACCCCTTCCAAAACCTCAATCTATTGTCAAGCTTTGTTATTAAGTATTGCAATGACAAATCATTATTTATGTTGCTTTTTTGTGAAGTTTCCAACTGGTTCAGGCTGGTGTGCTACTGATGGTTCTACGTTTATACCCTCCTTTTGCCCAATTTTCCAAAGCACAACAATATAAATAAGGGTGAAAGCTCCAATGTTGCTTTTAGTAACTTATCATCTTTATCTGAGATAATAATGCGTCTGTTATTTGTTTCAGATTGGGTTCCGTTATATTGTATTTATGTCTCTTCTCCTGCCTTGTCACTTGCTTTAACGTGTCAGTGATACCCACTCAATGTTTTTATTTTCAGTCATTTCGACTTCTCTGTCCTGATGGAAGTACTGTCAATGTGGGTGACTATATGAACTGCCATTGGGGTGAAATTTCTTCCAATATTATCATGACGTCTGCTGTCCGTGACCCCAGCACTGTGGAAAAATACAAGATTTTCTTAACTACTCTTGAGAGTCTGTTTGGTCCAAGTAGTACCAAAAAATTCAAGTTGTTCAAATCTGAAGAGCACTATGATGTGGACATCTTCTCTCAGACTCTCTTTCGGAAGAATTTAATGTTCTCTGACATGACAACGGGTTTCAGAGAAATTGGAGACTACTCATACTTTACTTGGGCTGGTAAGTCTCTGTCAGTTATGGTATAGTTGTTACAAACTGATTCTTTAAGTTTTTTTTTCTGGGAAATAGGGCTGTCTCACCTGCAGAAAATACTGTTAGGAGAGAGTTGCAATAAACATGTTTGAAGTAGCTCCATTGTAGCAGATGTGACAAATGTCTATATATGTGTGTATGCCTGACAAAAGAGCCTATTTGTCAGCAAAGTTAATTTCAAACTACAGGTTGCCTCAACTCTTAATCTAAAATTTTGTGGATATAATATTTTTGTTGTATCATGTATATGTGATATGTTTATATTGCTTTTTTCTTTCTTTAAAGGTTTATATCACTAGTGCATTTTTTGCCTTGCTTCACACTGATTAATTACGTATATAGTTGACAACATGCTCTTGTGTTTTGTTTTTAAATAATTTATTTGTGGTCCTGGCATCCTTTCTTTTCCTTAGGTAAAGAGTTCCAGTCGTACTTAACTGAAATGAATCGCTGCCCGTCAAGTGCAATCAGCCTTTGTGTCACATCATATGCAGAGAAGTTGAAGTGTGAGGAAATGATTATGGCTTTTAAAGCCAAAAACCTTCAACCTGAGATGGATTGCCTGTATGGAGGAAATACTAGTATGTGCTTGGAAATGATCTACCGCGGAGATGCAGATATCATTAATCTTGATGCTGGTGATGTGTACATTGCTGGGAGGTATGTATTCGGATTGGTCAATAAGGAAGAAATCTTCTTAGCTCTGCCGGTTCTTCACTCTGTTTCCTCGAATATACCTTTGATAGGTTAATGTTTTTAAAAATTTTTTGTTAAAAAAAGTTTTGATAACTTCTGCTAGAAGAAATTGTTCATTTTGAAATCAAAGATGCAGGAAATCAGTAGAAGTATTCTGCTCAGTAGGGATTAGTTGTAAGTGTGTTTTCACAGTGACTTTACACAGTCATTGGCAGTGGGGGGTGTCTCCTTTTGGTCTCTGAAGACAGCGTGCTTTAATGAACAATACTTCAATTGTCTCTTCTGTATGTCCTCACAGGTTGCAAATTGATTTTTGTTTTATATGAAGTCTGTGAAAACATTTGTACAGTGTAATCTTTTGAGTCCTCAGTCGGAAGGTGACCCATGATGTAGCCAAACAAATTCTAAAAGTATATTGTATACGGTTTACTCTTTCAGGCGCTATGGTCTGGTACCAATCATTGCTGAAGACTACGGTGATATGACCATGGAGTTCAAAGTTGTTGCAGCTGCTAGAAAAACTGATAAGTCAACAACACTTTTCAACATGAAAGGTATGGAGGTGTAATGAGACACTTTTATTATCTGCATGTATTTGTATCTAAGGGCAGGGGATGGGAAGAACAATGTTAATTTTTAAAAAACATAATTTTTTTTTTGGGGGGGGGGGGGGGGGGGGGGCGTGTCCTACTTTCAATAATTTATACATCCTCTATGACTTTTTAGTATATTTCAGTGGTTTAGTAGTTAGATTAGTGGGCTCGTAACAGAAAGGTCATGGGTTTGAACCTGTCAGGGACCTGACTTTGTGTCCTTGGGAAAGGCACTTTATATCAGTTTTCCTCACTTCAACTAGTGGGTACCTGACTTTAAGCAGCAAAAGATCTTGTCAGTTTGCTAATGTTTGAATGCTTGATCAGCTGCTTGCACTGTGTGCTTCTCTGGAATCTGAGAATGTTTCCGAGTGTGCTTTGGAACTGCTGTGATAATAATAGTTGTAAAGCACATAGAGCATACTGTAGACTGTAGAGCATGGATATGGGCTATATAAATGCAATTGTTATTAGCATATGATGCGTGGCTGCATGCTACTTTGGTGAAACCTACTTCTTGTGGTAGGACTTTTAATAATGCTGGTTGTCTGTGGATTGTAATAAATTGGAAGTCCTTTAGAACCTTAGATATTAAGTTTTGTTGTACCAACTCTGTCAAGCCCGCGACACTTAAAAGGGTACAAGCAGCGGATTAACAAAAAAAAATCAACTCTGTCAAGAGTGTTGTTGTGGCTGACTACTGAGGAGATTGTTTGTTTTTTCAGTTTATTGTTTGTCTTACAGGAATGTATTTGAAAAACTAGTTCTAATGGCTATTTTAAAAAGGAAGTTAAATGGTGCTACCATTATGCTTTACCGCTATTTTAGCCTTTTGTAAGTGTATTTGTTTTTTGCTTGTGTTTTGCAAACAATGTAGGGCTTTTTTTGGTTGTCGGTACTTATTTCTTTGACGTTGGGGTTTGTCTTTTTGCATTTCTAATGACATCCCTCTCGTCGTGTCATAATGACATCCCTCTCGTCGTGTCATAATGACATCCCTCTCGTCGTGTCAAAACCTTATTTATCAGGTGTAATTAGTTATTTTTCTTTTTTTTTTGTTCATTTGTCTTACAACATTGTACAGTGGAAACCTGATATAACAAGGATGGTAGGAGTAGAGAAAATGTCCTGTTATATCCGATCCCTGTTAAATCAGAAATGCAAGGAAAGTGAGCATTTGTGGACTAATCTAGCTGTACTTATTCATGGGTAGTTTCCCTAGCCACAAGTACCCACGAACAGGGGTTTTGGCACCAACTTTCTCCTTGCCTCCTTAAACCACATCAGAAGAGCTTGGTCCACAGCTTCTGCATCGGGTAGTCTCATCTTCTTTCTATCCAGAGCAAACTTTCCATTGGAGTATGCTGCCACTATCTTCTCTCTATCCTTGATAATGGTGTGAATCAACCCTTGTGGAATGTCAAACTGATGACAAATCTCTTCCAGTTAAGCTTGCTTTTTGTCAACAGTCTGGATTATTTCGTAATTTTTTTCAATTGAAAGGCATTTTCTCTTGCGCTTGGCATCGTTGGTGACATAATGAAAGAAGTAGGCTTAGATCTAGGCCCACCAGTCCTCTCTCTCTCTCTCTTACCTTTTTTACACATTGTTAACGAGCCTTTGTCCCTGCTATAACCGGTTGGGCTCCGATGAGACCCTGTTATTGCCGATAACTTTTTATAGAGACAAAGAGTAGGAAAAAAACGGGGATTTTAAACATCCCTGTTATTACCGGATCCCTGTTATTACCGGGCCTGTTATATATGGTTTCCACTGTATACAATTTGTAAATGTAAATATGATTTTGGAAAGATTTAGTCCGCAGGTATGAATTTTGTCTTTAGATACAGAGGTTAGTAACTTTTTTGTAGTTGAGTATTCATTTATATTTTGTAAGTACTGGAATGATTTCATGAAGTGTAAAACAAGATCGTTTAGTGTGCTTTGGCTTGCTCTCTTTTATTAACAGGAAAACGATCATGCCAGCCTGGAATTGGTCGGGGTGATGGTTGGATTATTCCGCTTAATATTTACATCGAGACAGAGCAGTTTTTACCAGAAGACTGTTCCATTTTCAAAAATATAGGTAAGTTCTCAACTGATTCTTTTCTGTAAAAAATTTTTTTCACATTCTTATGAATTTCCCTTTTCTTGTCAAGTTACTAAACGTTAAAATTTGTAATGTGTTTGCCTTTCTTGAAATATTTCCATACCCCCACGTGCAGTTTTAGAGATTTAAGTCAATAGTAGGAATAGTGAAATTCAAAGCTACTTCTCTGAAAATCTGCTCCTTTCATGTAAAGCTGAATGTGTTCTGTTCTATGTTTTGCAGGGGAGTTGTTTGTCAGGAGCTGCATCCCTGGAGCCCTGGACACAGAGTACAATCCTCATGGACAGCCCATCAACCTATGTGAGGGATGTGCAGCTGGGGGCTATCGCAAATGCCAGCGGAACAGTGAAGAACAGTACTACGGTGCCAGTGGGGCTTTCCGGTGCCTGGTAGAAAGTTAGTATTATTGATATTTAGAATTTGACTCTCATCTGTGTGAAGCATGGTTAGTTTCAAAGCATATTATTTATTTGGAGATCAAACTGATAGCCTCAGATGAAAAAGCGGGTGAGATTATAACAATTTTTCTACCTTGACGTCTAATGCAGTAAACAGTTGTCTTTGTCATGGGCAGATGTTATTTTTACTTAAGTTAAAGAAATATGATTGAAAAATACCTTTATATTTGATGAAAAGTAAAAGTAATGAAGGAGAAAAGGCCAAGTTTCTTTCTGTTAACTGTAAAGTAAAATTTTCCAATGTTGTCTACTTTGTTACTGAAACTATTGGCATGGTTTTCTCAGTTTTTTATTTAGTTTGAAGGAAAATAAAGATAATTAAAATTGTTTTTTGTTTGATATTTTGTAGTGGGTATACATTAGTCAAAATGGTCCAAGATGCCACTTGTTGTGAAGGAGAAAAGCAGTTGTCTTAGACAGGTGGATGTTTTGGTTAAAGTCATTTTACTGTTTTGTACGTGTGATTATCTGGGACAGCTATTCACGTGAGCAGGTTCAACTGTACTCTGAATTTGGCATGTTTATGATACCATTATGTTGTTCTTACTCAGGTTACTACATTTAGTACGGATTGAGAGTAGAATCTTAAAAGAACAAGGTTATTCAGGCTCTGTCTCATAAAAAATGTCAATTAATTTGAAGTAGGTATTGCTTTTCAGAGTCCCATTAGAGTGTTACACAAGTAAAGGAGAGGATTACCTTTACATATTCTGTCATTTGGCTTTTCTTACGTGGTAGTTACTTGTAAGTGAAAACTATTTGTTTTTCTTTTTCAGAGGGAGGAGATGTTGCTTTTGTAAGACATCTTACTGTTAGGGACAACACTGATGGCAGAAACCATGCCATTTGGGCCAGAAACAGAAGATCAGATGATTATGAACTCATGTGCAAGGATGGCCGACGCCTTAATATTGATCGTTTCCAGGAATGCCATCTGGGAAGTGTTCCTGCAAATGCTATCGTGACCTCAGGTATACACAGCTCGATCTTTTTTATTATGAGTAATTTCCTTCTTGGGGTTTCATATATTTGCACATCTATCATGTTATATTTTTGGGAAATTGGGGAGTGTCTGTTCTGCTACTAAATGAAGAGGGGAATATTGAAAAATTACCATATTTTTGGGATACATTCAGATAAACATTACTCTTTAATCTGTGCTTCCAGTTTTCCACCAAATGGCGGGAGTTCTGCCTTTTTTTAGTTTCCTCCAGACCTCATCTGCCGATCCAATGTCCGCCGCCTCATTGATGGTTTCCCCCTCCTCAGTGTCTTTTTCACTTTCTCCATTGTAAAAAAAACAACTATATCTAGATCTATGTTGCGTTGCCTTTCGTGAAACCGTGCTGTAAAAATCAAACTTATTCTACCTTTCACTGTTGGAAGTTATAATAATAATAATAATAATAATGAAGATCATTTCTATAGCGCCCACTCCCGTGTAAACACAGCTCTAGGCGCTTTACATAAATGCATGTACGAACAATATTCACGCATGCGACACATACACACACAATTACACACACTCATACACACACACACACACAAACACACACACACACACACACACAAACACACACATATGATATACACATACACACACAAACACTCACAAACACATAACACGCACACATGTGCACACACGTACGCCAAACACACACACACACACACACACACATACACACACACACACACACACACACACACACACACACACATCTACTTGCTTATCACACGCACACGCTTACACATCGTCACAAAATGAGCATAAAATAATATACACAATGCAATTCACAAAATATATCAATGGATACATAGTAATTTACATAACATTGTACCGAACATAAAAAGGATGTCATTAAATGTGACTTTAAAGATTTTTAAAATTTAGACTCAGATGTTGTATGTCTCAAGGGTTGGGGAAAAGAGTTCCAAACTGATGGAGCAAGGTGGGCGAACTAATTTTTTACCCCCTTTTCTCTTAAAAGATACTCATCGCCTGATCTTAGTGATCTAGATGGAACATAAATCTGGATGAGATCACTAAGATATGAGGGAGCTTTGTTATTGACACATTTATTACATAATATTGCATATAGTTCTGATGGCCGAATGGACAGTGTGTCTGTATTTGAAGTTATACAATTATTATTTTATGAGATGAGAGCGGGATCGAATCCCAGTCCAAATTGCTACAAGTAAGGCATTTCTTTCAATACTAGATTATCATGAACATAAATTAAAGGTGCAGTGGCAGCATCTATCAAGTCTTTTTTTCCTATAATAGAATCATCTATTAGTTTCCCATCTTCTCTCAGATATTATCAGGAGTGTATTTACCCTGGAATAGAGACACCACATGCAAAATTTGTCAAGAGAATGCCCTCTGCAGTAGTGATTTTAATGTGCTACTTATTGTGTCTATTGTTGTTGTCTATAATGTTGATTCCAATTGCAGATGTATGCTTACTTATTATTTTATGTTCATGATATTCTTGTATTGAAAGAAATGCCTTACTTGTAGCAATTTGGAGTTTTTAAAACTTACATCATAGAACTAACTAGTTTTGTCATTTGAGATAGTATTTGACAATATTTTAAAATTAATGCTCATTATTATCTTCTGTTTAAAATGCCTTACTTGTAGCAGTTTGGAGTAAAAAAACAAAAGGGAACTAATTAGTTTTGTCATTTGAGGTATTATTTGAGTAATGGGGATGTACACTACATTTTCATGTTCCCATGTACAGTATACAAATGAGAAGAACCTTGTTTGGTCTGTTGCGATATTTTCTCCTCATGCAGTGGATTTTTATCTTGAAAAGATGTTATGCGGACCAAAAAAAATGAAATTAATTTAGTGATAGAATCATCTATTAGTTCCCCATCTTCTCTCAGATATTGTCAGGAGTGTATTTACCCTGGAATAGAGACACCACATGCAAAATTTGTCAAGAGAATGCCCTCTGCAGTAGTGATTTTAATGTGTTACTTATTGTGTCTATTGTTGTTGTCTATGATGTTGATTCCAATTGCAGATGTATGCTTACTCATTATTTTTCAATTCTTTTTGCAGCTGGTAAATCAGCTGTACAAAAGGAAATCATCTGGAATCTTCTCAATTACGGACAGCAGTTTTTTTCTTCTGACATGTGAGTTCCTACTCATTTTTTTTCTCAAAATTTTGTCAAACAAGTAAATAATTCTGACTGATGTATAGTATAGTTGTTTTTGTATTTTTTGGGAAGGGATGGGGGTATAAATAAAGATGTTTTTCTTGTAAGTATTGTAAGTCTCAAATCTGCCCCGATTGTCTGTTTCAGTGTGTATTAACGGAGACTTAAAAAAAAATAAATGTGTTTTTGTAAGCACAGATTATCATCTTGCGTCCTCTTATGTTGTGTACTTACTGAATTTGACTCACAGATGTTTATGATTGTCATGATGTTAAAAAACCTGTTTGGGATGTTAAGATGTGGAGCTTATAAACGAGACATTTTGTCTTTTGAAGTGTAAATAACCCTGTTTATTGAGCAAATGTTAAGCCTTGAATGATTTTTGCCGTTTCAGTGTACCCCACAGAGGCATGATTGCCATGTTTGTCTGTTTTATTCCACAGTGATGGAGATTTCCACATGTTTGACTCTGGTACCTGGTACACAGATCTGATTTTCACCGATGCTGCTGTAAGATTGATGAGAATTCCTGAAAACAAACAGAACTACAAAGACTGGTTGGGTCAGTCCTTCATGGCACAGATAGAGAACCTGCACAAGTACACATGTGTCAATCCTGACAGTGCCATATCTCTGAGCCCAAGTTTTCTGCTCCTTAGTGTTGTGGCTGTACTAACGGCTGTTTGTACGAGATTATAGTTAGATTGTTAATGCCAGATACGTCTTTGAAAAGAGAGAACAGTTTTTACATTTTAGATTTATGAAATACCCGAAAATTTAGATGTACTTTGGAACAGATAAAGACCTAATTAGGTACTTTCGCGTACTATATAAACAAGCTAAGTAAATGTGCTGTTGGTCGTTGTAATTTACTTTTTGTGCATTATAATGGTAGGAACACACAAAATTCTGGAATATGTTGAAAATTTATTACAATCTTTGGCCTCAAATGATATGTTTGTGTTCTTTTGTATAATCACTGGTTGAATATGATTATTCTGATAGAATTTGTACATTTTAATTGTAGATATATTCTTGTTTCTATTGAATGGTTGTTATGTGTTATGAGTGTGGTTTTCTTCCCTTTTATTCGTTGATGTTACCCATAGAGTGAGCTTTGGGTCCAATAGAATTATAGAGTCTGATCTTCTTGTTCACACTACCTGTGGTTTAATTGAAAACAAGCTCTTTAAATCCATGCGGTTCTTAACAGATTCTACTATGGGGATAACCATTCAAAACTTAACAAGAGAGCATATGATTGATGCCTTTCGTTATTGTCTGAGAGTGGCTTTGTCTTTTTCTTACATGTAGATGAAATGAGCTTTGGTCAGATGGTGAAAGAGGCAAAAAAGGGAAATGGTGTGTGTCTGAGTGTGTGGTAGTGGTATGATATCATAGAATCAATGTGGCATATTGTTTTGTCAGATTTTTAAGCTTGGTTGATTATTTATGACTGTCGGTGTGATGTGCGTTGGCAAGTGGGTATAGCATGACATCACGACTTGGTTAGAGTTGTATTGTTTTTTTTTCAGGTCCATTTTGTACATAACCCTCAAAGCTTTATATAATTACTAACATATTTTTAATTCTAATAATACACAAGTTCTTTTGAAACCTATACAGTGATTAGTGATACATCTTATAGCTCATGCCAAATCCTTACTGGTTTCTTTATGGTGTGTGGTTGCTCAAGTCGTAGAAACTAAGATGGCATGAAATCCTCATCCTTGAAAATTGTTCGCAGGATATGTTGCTGTTTTTTCTGTATTACTCTCTTTGCACTCCCAATTGACTCTTTCGCTGATGGTGTTCTCAAATTTATTTTCAAGATTGTGACATTTAATAGTTTTACAAGGTCTTAAAATTTGTGTGTTGACTCTTTCCACCTAGCTAGCACAGAGTGCATAACCTTTGTCCCCATCAGCTTGGATACAGATGGGGTACATCAGTACTATACTTGTATATCTAGGCATGTATACCCCAATTAGTAGGAAATTGTCAGCAGACTGATAAAATTGAACGTGATGATCGCATGTTCACCGAAAAAGGAATAAGAATTGGATCTAAAACCATTAGATCTAACACATTCATCACCCGAATCCTCATCAAGACATCGTTGAAAAGCAACACTTATGCTTGGTCGACTAGCAGTTTAAAAAAACCCTCCAAATTGTTGTAAACAAATAATTTTTGTGCAGAAAGGTCACACGAACCATTCAGAAAGAAAATTATAACTTAAACAAGTGCACATGTCTTACAGGAGATCATTTCTACAATTTTTGTTGTTACTATATTACACAATTGGCATCCCGTGGGGGGGAAGGGGCGGCACCTTACCGTCGCCTGTTGGTGTCCTGAGGAGGCAAAGTGTTAATCATTGCTATGTAAAGTTGAATTTCAGTACTTTTGTTTTTGTGAAGTATATAAAATTTGTTGAATTTTAGAGCCATTATTGTAAATAGCTTATCATTAACAAGATTAAAAAAATTAAGCTTATACACTGTCTTGAAAATATGTACCTTATGTTTCCAGAGTAATTAAAACTTGATTGTTGTTGCTTGAAATGAATGAGAGCAAAGGTGGTATAAAATGAAAATGAAAAGTGAATTATGTCAGCTGCAAATTGAATGGCAGATTTTAAAAGCTTTTAATTCTTTGCATATATATGAATGATTCACATGATGAATGTATCAACTTGATTGGTTAAAGCCGATAAAATATCTGTAAGAGGCAATGTATAAAGGCAGTGTTTGAGAGTTCAGGATGCACTAACATCCTTTTAATGATGTGAAGGTCATGTGTTCTAATTCTGTAAGTTAAAGAGAAATTTGAGTCGGAATATTGATTTTCTGAACTCATGTATTCTACTACGCTGAGCTTTGGCATACAGTTAACTAAATTGTTAAGAAAGAGGATGCAATTCCCTATTGTTTTGTGCTTTAAAAAATCCCAGAACGAACATAAAAAAAAAGGCACTCCCTCACTTTGTTGTGAAAGAAAAAGGATCTCAGAAATTTTGTCATTTGTTTTTAATGAAAGTCCAGGTAATTTCTTCTCGAGTATCATATTAGATACATTTTTAGATGAGTTGTAAATATCAATTTTACTGTGTGGATCATATTCTTAAGGACCACTGTATACTTTGGACATTTTTTGTTTTATTCATTTCTTATGTGTAAGTGCCTTTCTGTGTAGTTTCTGGTTGCTGACGAAAAAATGAAAGTGTTTGATGAAGAAAGTGAAGGCTTTTCTCTTTATCTAAGGAGAAAGTACCTAAATACATGTAATCACACTTTGAAATAAAAAAAAAAAATTTCCTTTAGCTACAGTCAGTTACAATAAACTTTTGCAAAACATGATTGATAAACATCTGAATCTGTCTTTAAAGATTCTGTTTTGGACCTTGTTTAAGTGCTAAGATAATGACCCAAGTAATTTTTTAATCAGTTTGAGTAAATCGTAAAAACACTTCCTGGTTTATGTCTTCTCCTTGCACAAGGAATTTTTTTTTTTTTATAGTTTGAAAGTTTGTGGCACATTCATTTGGATCATGACTTGGTGGAATCAGGTGCTCATCATTTTTTGGGGCATATAAAGTTATTATTATTGTATTAAGGCTGGTTCATTTTTCTTGCTTTCGATGAAAAAATACCCATCTCTCTTAAGAAGAAGTCAAGATATTTGCGATTGAAAAAGGTGTGGGTTGTCTGGTGTCAGAGTTAACATTTGGGAGAAAAGGGTTGCCAAAGTTTGGTGGCTTCCTTTGAAAACTACAAATTTACAATCTGGTTCCTTTAATCAATGTTTTTCCAAAAAATCGATCCAGAAAAGTGCTTTTAATTTAATGAACATAAACGGTATTGAGATTGCCAAACCAGTAGAAAAACACCAGTTTCTTCAAATTCATTATTTTGACAGGTGCCTGATTTCACCACAATGCCTCATATTTCATAACCTAGTAGGCCATATTATAAGACATACTTTGGTTTGTTAGTTTGATTTGGGCCTAAATAAGTTTAAAGTCAAAGACTTGTAAGCACTTATTTCCACTTTGGTTTGACTCTTATTACTTATTTACATTGGTGCAGTAAGGAAGAAAAATAGAAAATTCCTGTCTGTAAAGACTTTCCATCATTCCTCTATTTATTTCAGAATATGTGTTTTGTCTACTAACCTGAACGTGCTGGCATTTCACAAAATTTTCCCTGAAGACTTATTTTTATGGCTCCACAGTTGAGGCAGCTCATTAATGAACTGTAAAGATTCTTTTTCAAGTGCCAGATCTGGCTCTTGAACTGTGTAATACATGCAATGTTATTCCACAAGCCCATTCCATTTTGTACATTCCATAAAGAACTTTGTCATAATAAAACCTTTTGTAAAATTTTCTTTTGTTTCATTGAATGTTGCCTGAAAGATGTACACAAAGATAGCATGCAACCAAGTTCTTGGGACATGACAGTATATAGGTCTGCTTTTACTTTTTCTGTTTTACTCTCATCTTATCCCACTTTGCTTTAGGCAAATGGTGGCCATCAGAGTGTGGATGAATAATAAATTACAACTCAGTTGATCCTCCGTTCTGGAGTGGGCATGTCTATTATTTGGTCAAACTTCTTTCAACCTTGCTGTGGTTGGCCTCAGCCTGTTGCCACAGGATCAATCAATCGCACCCTTTAAAGTACAAAGGTGCACAACTCCAGACAAAAACTATACCCTAACCTAAAGGTTCAAAAGTTGTGTTCACTGGGACATGTTTTGATTTAGAAAAGAAAGTACATGAAGTGCTCAATACCCATTCAGCATGAAACAGCCAAGTGGACCAAAGAACACTGGTCCCTGACAATAATAATTATTATTACATACAGCCGAACCTGTGCAAGTGTAAGACGGCCACCCATTTTCAAGGAGAAAAGTGGCCGTATAAGACGGGTGGCCGTCTTAGGCAGGACTGATCAAGATGAAGAAAACAAACCATTCCTTTCTTCTGAGGTCCCAACTGAAGGTAGCCGCATTGTTATTGTTGTTGTTTTCGCTGATTTTTTTTTTCTTTTGTTGCTGTTTTTGTGCAAGGGTGACAATAAAACAAAATGTGCGAGACAAGGAGGACCGAGTGTTACGGTAAAACAAACTCATGGGTCGCCACCACTCGGAGAACGAGCAAGTTCATGTTGACGCCCATTGTTAGTGTTACTTTGTTACAGACAGGGTAAACAGTGACCTCTCTTCACCTGATTTGTGTATGAGTTCTGGGCGGGGCTTATGGGTTATGAGGGATCACACGCTTACATCACCAGCAGCTGAAAATGTGTTACCTATTGGTCAACAGTGGGAGGGGCCTATGCAACATGATCGGTAGGAGGGACTACCTAACAACAAACAGGAGATTGGATTATGATGGCTCGCCCACAACGCCAGGGGCCAGTGCACAATTAATGACAAAATGTAAAGGAGTCACTAAGGTGGCCGTCTAAGACAGGTGTTATTACAGAGGAACTGGGATTCAACGAGGTCGTCGGGCCTGACCTAAAATCTCGTTGAATCCGAGTGTTCGTTATAGCAATCACGAGGTTTTGTGCAGATAATTACAGGCACTGAGCAAGTAATGTATAAAGAGAAGTCATAAGTAGTGCCTGAAACGCCTGCACATTATGAGCTGTGTAAAAAAAGACAGATTCGTTCAAATGCACATGCCTGTGTCATCTCGATTGTTTACAATTCATTATGTAGGTCTACGTCAAGACTAGCTTTTCATTGTTGTAATAATGATCAATTGCTGAGGGGAAAAAAGACTGACACGTTTGTATCTGCGACGTTCAACGCCTGGACCGCTAGTGCCCTCCCCCCTTTCCTCGTCACGCACACACAGCGTGCAGGCCGCCCATCCCCAACACACACTTGTGCGTGCCAATAACGCATGTGTTGGTATGAAAAAAGGCCACTGATGGGTCGCATGCGATGGGCTAAGTGAATAATGGTTCACGATGCAGGTCTTATGGACGGCTTCCGGGAATAGATAAAGTTCGTTCTGGGAGAAAAATGAGGGAAGCCACGTCTGCGGGAGCTGTTCCTATTTGAATCCGAGTTCGCTGATTTAAGTGCTCGTTGAATCCCGGTTATTTTAATAGATTTTAAAGGAAAAAAACGGGGAATCTTTCTCATCTCGTTGAATCCGAGTTCCACTGTACTTGGTGTGATAGGGGTTGTGTGTTAAAATATGGTGACCGCAGCGGACAGGTGCCCGTTTTACACAGTTAAATTATATAATAATATATATATAGAAAAAAACGCAAGGGGGGAAATGGAAAGTGACTGTTTGTACAGGTGGCCTTCTTATAGAGGTGTCCGTCAGGGCAGGTTCGACTGTATTATTTTTGTCTAAAGATATCATCAGATGGGGAAACAGATTTTATTCTCTCTGTGCCCATCAGGAAAAAAATTGTCTTGCCAACATTAAGTTGATTGAGAAGAGTCCATGTCCTGACTTCACAATCACTACATAATTCAACACTACCGTGCCAAGGCAGACCGACGTATCTGCAAATATTATTAATTTTTGCATCTTCGTTTAAATGGACGCCTACACTCATTCATTCTGCATCTTGTGTCACAGTCAAAGGCAGAAAGACGTATCTGCACTACAAATAGGATATTTCACTATGGCAAACTGACGCAATTGAACGGCTATGCCGATATTTCCAAAGGCAGCGTGACGTAACACAAAATCATAAAAAGTGCAGATACATCGCTCTGCCTTGACACAGCAGAAAAGACCTAGTACTAGTAACAAAACATGCAGTACCTGATGATCAACAAAATTACCAGATTTTCTGAGTCTTTCATTACACAACAGAAAAATAACGGGAACACCATTAAGTATTTTATATCTCCTCTTTTATTAATTCCATAATGATTACATAATTATTTACTGCTCTCAAAAGAGCACACTGATCTTCTGTGCCCTGGACTCTGTCCTGCCTTTATGGGCATAAAATGCAATGACATAAAGAATGACCACTAAATGCAGGTTGCCAAGGCTAGAATGGATGTCAAACATTTACAACGTCCGAGTCTCACATCCAGATGAGCCCAAACACCAAAACGAGATGCCAAAACATACAGTTGACCGAAATTCATTGTCTACATGAGCTAGACTATAATGAAATTCAAAATCAAATGGCAGAATGTTGATGTACATTACATTAAACACTCATTAAGAAAATAATGTTATACATGAAACAAATTGCATGATGGCAAAATTATATCTCAGGGACAAATGTAAGCTGCACAAACCAAAGTGTTCTCTTTTATTGAAGTGAGATTTAAATTTAACATAAAATGTGAAATGTCAACATGTCACAGAAAATCGCAAACCACGCACCAATGTCAAATTGTACAAAGCCCAGAAGGGCTAAAGTTTATGGGGAACACGGACAGAGCTGTTCAGACTTTCAACTTTTAACCAGGCTTAAAAATGAGCTACATGTATAATAAATCAACAAAAAATAAAAAAGTAAGAGCTAGAGATTTTTGGACAACTGAAGATTGCAGTTTTCAGTTGTAGGCCTACATGCACACAATAATTACACATCAGAATGAACTCGTTAGTTATTTATCTTTAGTTTAGAACAGTGGTTATGCACTTTATTGGGGCTACTGAACCACGCAAATGTTATACATGCATTCATGGAACCGTTCGGGTTGGGTGAACAGAAAGCACACAAACACAGTGTATGTAGACCTCTGCCAAACTTCAGAGACAGACTCACCGAACCCCTGGGATAACATCCAACCCAGGTTAAGAACCACTGCTTTAGAAATTTCATGATGTCAGTTGGTCTTTAGATTATTAATTTGGCAGTTTATTTCATAACATTATTCTTCTCACTTTTTTCAGATAAGCTTTCATACTTCATTCAAACTTTATCTATTGGCACAGCATTAAAAGTAGCCTACTCATTTAACTTCAATTTTCATTGAATATGAAAACATAACACTAACACATGTAGCCTACATGAAACAACCTGTACCACACCAAAATACATCAGTGCCACTTATTCAGAGTACAAGTGTTTAATCATATTCCCAGCACAAACACACATATATGGAAGTTGTTTAATTTGCACTAACTACTGTCCCTGGTGTTGGGGCTCAAGCCATGTCTTTCTGAGTCATGGACTAGGTTCTTGGCAGAGTGCACATCTGCCCATGACAAGAACAAATTCTTTAATCATCTTTAAGTTCTAAATAATAATCACACGTTTTCTTGTGGGTATGTTCCACAGTGGGCCTCACAATTATAAGTCTCTGTAATAATAGAATTTCAGCTAAAACAAGCTTATAATAAATCCTCAAGTTTGAAGGCTTGCTTGGACTTTAGCATTGAGGCATATCTTCCTGTCAGTAACTTACCATGACCTTGGTCTGGCATCACATCATCACATTTTCTCCCCAAGGGGTGGCTAGACTTATAACTGAAATAAATGACTGAATAAAAAGTAGACATTGGGCACTTCATCTACACCAGCTATGTGTGTCCCTTTTCCCAACTGTTATAACTATTTGATCATGAATAGTTGTAAAGCAGACAGAGCTGTAGAGCAGAGTATGTACTAAACAAATGAAATTATCACTTTCATTGATAGGCTACCTGTGCATCTCAAATGACGTTTAGTCAATGTCCATGAGACTATGATACTAGAAAAAGAAAGATACAGATAAGCAAAAGTTATAACTGGAAAAGGAAGGAAAACACCCATAAAATGTCAGTGGGTAATCAATGCAACAAAACAACCCCATATGCGTTAATCAATAATTGCAGGGTATCATGTAAAATTTAGCCCTGCCTATAACTATAACAGGAGTATCACATCAGTCCCAGATTTTCCTGTTATATCCACGGCCCACTGTACACTCAATTCAAAACAGTATGAACATTAAGAGGTGACAACTATGGTTCAACATTTGTTTCTGAAACCAAGCCAGAGCAATAAAACCTCAAAACCTGCCTGATAAAAGCACAGGGGACACCTGGGTTGAATCTGGGTTCACTGGACTTTTTACACTGAAGTCTACAACCACCACATCACACATCCTTAAACGCGAGTTCCAACAAACATGGATTATGGATGCATATATGTAAATGAAAGATACAAAAAGAAGGTATGATAGAATTTACACAATATTGCATTGATCAAAGCCGTTTTATCTTTGAAGTTTGATGTCACATATGTACATTTTATACGAGAGCACACGAAGACCATTACATAAACACTGGTGATAATATTATAAGTGAAAGACAATGTTGTTCTTATACTGTTTGCTGACACTGTCTAGCTCAGAATGCAACAAAAACAGAACGGGCCCACAAATCCCGATGGCACAAAACATTCTCATTTCACTCAAAATGTCCAAGGTACACACATATGTTTCAGCAAGATGGAGGAGGTAAGAAACAGACTCAGATCAAATTTAAGAGCTTTATAAAGTCATGAGTATGTAGGAAGGGAGCAACAAATTGCAAGAATCTCAAGAAAAACATGTAAGCACCTTAGAAAAGGAACATTATTTAAACAAGCTTTTGCTCAAATGATAAAATCTATTTCTTTCACAACATTTCTTGGCAAATACTAGAGAGAAAAGGGTAGGACCTACTTTTTAATATGTTATAGAAGGTAGTAGGCCTACTCTCGAACCTTCTCTAACGGCTGATTCTCCGCACGTTTGAGTTACAGAAGGAACAAAATATTAGTGATGCTTTAAAATGCAAAACAAACTAAAAAAGCTGTTGTTGTAGTCAAAAACTTTCTATGCCTTTAACTTGCCAGGGAATTAAATGCTCTTTAAATGTACCTGACCTTAAAAACCCCAACACAACCTGTCATCCTATACTCATAGTTCAGTCTCTTTTACAAAAAACATTTGTGAATCCAACAGACTGCAGAGAGTCGATATAGGTCTACATGGTCAGTAACTTCTCCTAATTTCTAAATTGATTAATCCTTAAGTTATGTTGATGCAGGAACCAAAGGATGAGGATAAACTGAGTTATCCATGACTCCAGATGCCAATTACTACTATTACTATTATTCAGCATTCTAAGAGAGGCAAAAACAACTGTTACCCTTTTTACTGATTAACTTTGTATTGATCAAATGCTATATGTCGGATACTTCTCAGTAGACTAGAAAAGTATGTTACCCCATCGTCACATAAAAAAGTCTTCTTACTTTCATAAGTACAAATGTTTTCTTTTTTTTCAAAATAAAAACGCATAAACCAACCAAATAAAATAGAGAATACCTTTTATTACAAGTTTATACCACCTAGAGTCTTCACTACTTTAAGTCAACAGTAAGGTAAAACCTCAGCTGTACATGCCCAGTAAGAAAAGTGCAATATCTAGATGACCAAGACCCAGGAAAATCTATACTGGAATGCCACAGTTACAAAAGACATATCTTTTAGTCTTAAGAGAGTATATTGTGCACCACATTTTAGTTTTACAGACTGTATGTTTATTGAATCTGGCAATGAAAGTGAATGTTAATGTTTTATGCCCAATCAACACAATTTAGACCATCTCCACGGTGCGCTGCCTCCATCCTAACTGTCAAGGCCAATCAGAGCTGAGTGGCGTACAACATCCCAGCAGACAGATGAAAATAATAGATAAAATAATTTCACAATCTGGGAATCAAACTCACTTCTGTGTAGCCGTAAAGAACCTAACCATTACACAGATCTGCTGTAAGCTGTCAAAAATGCCTTTTTTCTATTCACAGCACTTTGGAGACGGCAGCCTAGTGGTTAGGCTACCGGACTCGTAATCGTGAGATTGTGGGTTCGGGGGTTCGAACCTCAGCTCGGTCTGACGTTGTGTCCTTCATTGGGAAAGGCACTTAACACGAACCCCCCCATGGCTCGGTCCTATCAGAGACGGACATTTAACTAGGAAGTCTATCACTACCATTATCTCTACTACATCATGTGATGATAACAACATTAGGATAGGGAAAGCCGTAACAACTTTTGGAAAGCTGATAAAACGAGCATGGGAAAACGAAAGATTAACCATAAAAACAAAGATCAAGATTCATGAGGCATGTGTCCTCAGCATATTCCTTTATGGATCTGAAACATGGACCTTGTACAGCAGGAAAGAAAAGAACCTCCGCATTTTCCATCTCAGATGCTGCGGCAAAATCTCAGGCATTTCGGGGCGGGACAAGGTCACTGATGTTGAAGTATTGGCCTGGGATAACCTCTACAGCATGAAAACTATCCTGTGTTTCATTAAGTAGATGGAGATGGCTGGGTCATGTCAAGAGAATGGACGACAACCAGATTCCAAAGCAACTTCTCTACGGAGAACTTGTCCGGGGAAAGAGATCAGGAGGAAGGTCAAAAATGAGATACAAAGACACCAACAAATAAAAACAGCTCATCTAAGTTGGGAGTAGATGCCGGCATCTGGGAAAAATAGCAGAGGACAGGAAAACATGGAGAACGATAAAGAGCGACATTGTGCTAGAGAGCACCCTCAGGAATAACCAGGCTGAGAAGTACCTATGATGAAAGTAAAACAGCTGAAAACCAGAGCATTGTTCAACCACCCTCATATGCAAACACTGCAACAGAATCTGTGCTTCAAACATAGGAAGAATTAGCCATGAAAGAAGCTGCATGATGAAGACAACCGTGAGATCATTTTAAGCTAAATTGACCTTCTGCACAGACGAAAAGAGCCATACAGGGTAACTGATCAGGTTTTTGATTAAGCAAACTAACACATTTGGCACCAAAAATGAAAAAAAATGCCATTTTGTCAGCTTACGGCAGAGATATAGGTAGGTTTTTTTAAAAGTAAATCTAAAATGAGATAACAGATTTTTCCATGAAACTGTGTTATCTTCATGAAGATACAGTAGAAATATCCATAAGTTTACCTATTTATATAAATATTAATTTCATTCATAGCAAATACCTGACAATATATTTATATTCCATTCTTTAAACAGTTGACCACGGACCAATACCTTGGGGGTTGACAAATGTGTTCCACACACTTGTGATTTGAGTAGACAGTAATTCATGAAAAAAGAGAATAATATATGATATAAATGGTCCAAAAATCAATAACTGACTGCCATCATCAAAAGTACCCAGATAACAGGATAGAGAATCGATAGTGCATGCCCCTTGTTCAGTGTTAAAGTTAAGGCAAGAAAAAAAATAAGAGAGTGATGCTGATGAGCCTGATGAGGGTAAATGGAAAAAAAATCCTTTTACATCAGATCAGTCATGACAATCTACCCAACAGTGCTCAAAGCAAGCTACTCATCTCAGTTGTGTAATTATTTCCTGATTCATAAAGTCAAGTTCAAATCACACATGCACATACACAAACATAATTCATACATCATATGGCTCAAAGCAGTGCCACACAGTCTATCTTAGATCACACCTCATCTCCCCGCAGCCAGCCTCACATGACTAGTTTCAAAAAAGTAAATTCTAGTGCCTTACGCACACTACTACAGGTAATATGCGAATCACGCTTTGTGGGGGGGAGCCTGGTGGTCTCATGCAACCCGATACTCTTGATGTTGGTAGGTGTGTTTGTTTTCCACTGTGCATGCAGGCAATTTAAACTCCCCAAAAAAAAAAAAAAAAAAAAAGTGATTGGGCTTTTTGAGATGAGCTGTTCGACCATGATCTGTGTGGGTTTTCAGAGAAAACATTGCTGCCAATCCAACAAAAAAAAAAAAAAAATAAAAAGTGGTTCAAGCGGGGAATGGCATTTTGTTCAAGCTATCCATGGATTCAAGTTTTGCGTGTTCGAGTCATCTGTGCTTGACTGTATATATGTAAAATAGCTCTACTAAAGTTAAGAAAAACATAATGATCTTTATAAACAAATAATAACCAAAGCAGATAACATGTAACACATTATGAAGCAACAAAATATACACTTAACAAACTTAAAAGAAAAAAACCAATGTACACCACCTATGTGATAACTCATGTTATGCAAAAGGACAATTATGCTGTGAAAAGAAAATTATTAAAGAAAGCGTAACACTCGAAAATGTAAGTAAATGATAGTTTAGTGGCAATGAATTTTGTTGATACTGAGTATAATATGACTTGCTGAAAATTCATACTTTCTAAAAGCATCTGAACCTGCCCAGATTTTTTTGGCAAAAACTGCGGTACATTTGATGAACTTTGAAAAAATATCTCCAATCAATCACATCTCTGTTAACAAAACAACAGCCAGAAGTCAAACGCTTTATAAATATTGCAAACAATACTGATTACTCTAACCTATGGGCAAAGTCCAATGGACCACAAATGAAGCATTTCATACACATAACAACTGTTTTGAGGCATTTATACATACAAAAAAAGAAAGACTATAATCTTGTTTCAGGATTTATGTTGGAGAACACCATCGCTCTATAGAAAAGAATTGATGAGGCAAGGACATGGCTGCTCAGTATACTGGTCCTAGACTGCAAGGGCATGTGAAGAGATGCAATGACGCCTAAATAAATGAGGAATTCTTCAGGCGCTTATGGCGACAAAAGATTTACTTCTTCAGATAACTGCTCTAGTTTTAGGACTGATGTACCGTATGTAATTGAAAGAGTAAGGCCGCGTGTCCACCAAAGCAGAAACACCCAATTTTTTCGTGGGAGGAGGCAATTCAGTCTGTTAATGACCGGCCCGCGTGTCCACCAGCATGTGAGCAGCTCTGATGACACGTTTTGTTCTGGAAGTATTTTACTGCACTCGCAACTGCAAAAGGTCATATGGGTGCACTCTAATAGACACGGTGACATTTCTCAATGTGAGACTTTCAACACTTTCCATCCACGCAGCGCGCACAACACTTGTCCCCAGAAAGTAGATGCGGTACATCAGTACTACACCTGTATCTCTGCAAAAACACCACAACCATTATGAAATTTTCAGCATACTGAATTCTTTTAAAAAAAGAAGAGAAGTTTTTATCTCCTCTCGTTTTTGAGCTATCGGCAGTTGAATCTGCGAGTCATGCAAGTCAGGATGAAGCCATGTTTTGAAAAAGAATGGCGTTCCAGTTTCTCGATTTTCTTATTGCTAACACAAATACTCACATTCAAGAGAATGAAAATGAATCAGACATTGATTTGGAGGATGCAAAACAGTCCGATGATGATTCTGACAATGCGGGTGAGCCTAGTTCTAGCTCAGGAGATGCTAGTTCTGTAGTAGAAATGACACTGGTGATGTCAACAATGTGGAATGGCCTGAAAAGCTGTTGTGTGTCACCAGTAGAATGAATGCTTTTACTGAAGCTGTGGGACCAATTCATGATCTGGTGGAGAGCATACCTTTGAATTATTTTAGACTGCTCTTTCATTTTCTGATAGGATAATCAAACTGTTTGTGCAAGAAACTAACGGGTATGCCGAACAACATGAGGCCGCGAAGGGGTCACAGGATCCCTATTGGAAGAAAATGAATGAGGGAGACATTTGGAGATATTTGTATGTAAACATTATGTTTGACCAGCATAAAGTTCCTGAAGCAAAGCTCTACAGGTCCTCAGGTGCATTGTAGGGTGTCCCTAGAGTTGCGGATGTGATTGGAAGACAACGATATGAAAAAAAACCCATCAGTACTTCCACACAAATGACAGGCCCAAACAGTCAGCATGTGGAACTGAAAACTACGATCCGCTTTAAAAAAACCATGAAGTGTTCTTTTGACAACTTCTTCTCCTCCCCGGTGCTGGCCGAGCATCTTATGCAAGAAAATACCTACTGCTGCTCAATGATCAAAGTCCTTAAGAAAGATTGACCATTCCCCAAGATATAGCAGAAAAAGGGAACTACCCTTATGAAGCAAAAGGGAGTGAATGTAGCTACACAGACAAGAGACAGGTGAACATCCTGTTGACGGACACAAACCTTGCAATGACCACTGAGAAGCAAAGGAGCAAAGACAGCATTGTCAACATGCATATTCCCTCCCCAGTGGAAATGTACAATTCAGGAATGTTTTGGGTCCACCTGAGCAACCAATATAGGGCTTATTATCCTGCGGGGAGAACCAGAGTCAAATGGTGGTTCTACGTTCTGTGGTACCTCGTGCAAGTGTCAATCATCAACAGCTTTTTTTTTATGCATCGCATCAGGCCCACTGCTTGTGATTCCCTTACTAAAAGTCACTTGAGGTTTCGCATGGAATTGCTGAAGTAGATGGTCTCCCACACAAATTGTCTCCGACATTGGCTGAATGCAGTAACGTGCCAAGTGTCAACATCATCTGAGCTCTATGCCTGGTCGCAACTGCAGGTGTTCTCACTGTGCTATGGAACTGTCATCTATGTCAGGTGCATCTCCACAAAGGTTACTGCTATGTCAAGTACCATGAAAACTTAAAAACAGTGACAATTCCGTGGATTATTAACTAGTAAGTTTTCTTTAAATTTCTTCATTTTCCCCCCCCCAACTATAATGGAAAAGTATATTTTCTGAAACTTTATTCATTTTTGTACATTTTAGTGTTTGTTTCAGCAGAAATAATGCATGTTTACATATTTAGAATTTAGATTTAATTTTAAAAATTTGTGTGATTTTCAAAAAACGAGTTATTTCCCCTTGCTTAAGGTTCAGGGTTGACCAGTGAGCAAATATGCATTCAAACCAGGTGGTAGGTGCCTAGACTTTGATAATTTTGAAGAGCTGATTACGAATATAACATTAGATTTTTAATCCGAATTGAAAATTAGATTTTTTAAAAGCTCAGGCTGAGCCTATGGCTGATAAGTCACCACACAGCCCGACTAAAATGCTGCGCGGATCATTCCAACTAATCCGACTGACTAATCTTTAGTTGGGAGGTGTCATGCCGTTCTGGGACAGATTGGTATGGTAAAATCCCTGCTCCATTTCAACTACTGCCTTCCTGAAGGACGGGCGACTAGTTGTGCGGTTTCAGGTTTGGTGGACACGCGGGCATAGAGTCCTAGGAAAAAGCTTCTCAGACCAAAAGCAAACAGTGTCATTAATGACAAATGACATGTTATTTTTAATACTAAAAATGTTTCATTTGGAGAAACTAACACCAGAATTGACCTGAAAACTCACATGGAAATAATTGCCATCAAAATATATTTTATAGACAGACCATCAATATTATCACTCTATCCTTTTGTCACATGGAAATTTCCTCTGATTATGTTTATAACAAGTAAAGCCCCTAAAGGACAATGGCAACAGGTACACAGAACATGGGTTGATTCTTATCCCCCAGCACAAGGTGAAACAGGAATTACCTGGCCATCATTGAGACACGGCACCTCTCTTGCAGCCAATTCACCTGTATGGAGCTTAGAAATCTAGTGAAGCGTGTCATTGTGCAAATAACACTAAAACAGAAAGTCCAGAATATTGTGACCTTTGAAAGAAAAAAGAATAAAAATGGTCGAGGAAAAAAACAGACAGACAACTAGAAGCAGCAGAAAATTATGAAACAGACAGAAAAATTTTGTTTAGTACGGGGTTTTGCGGCGCTCAGAAAGAAAAAGAAACCTAAAAGGTTTTTAATTGCAGAATGAAAAGCTACAGGGGGAAAAATCACTTGACAAGACAAGGTTTACCAAGAGCCAAGGCGGCAACCAAGAGAATAAAATCTGTTCCACATTTTCTGATAGCTCCTCAAAGACTGGATATTGCTTGTATATCTAGACTAAACATCCGGTCTGCTTGAATAGCAAAGAATACTTCATATTGTAGACACATAAAACTGAACTCTAATGCCTGTTATGTACTGGCTATCGAAGCACGACCTTCCATTAAGTACAGTAACACAACTTGATTTGCTCCGAATTTAAACGCAGCTTCCCCTCATTCTACCTTTAAACTGGGAAAGAAGAGCTCCAGTTCACATTCCTCTGATTGGTTATAGACAGCAGGGCAAAGAAAACGTACCCTAATATGCACATAATAGAGTTCAAATTGAAAGAGAACCTAGTGAAAGAACTGTACCTACATAGTAGACATTTGAAAACAGCCAACATTCCTTGAGCCTCTTTACTAGTGATACTATTGCATATATGACGCAACTTTGAGCCTAAAAATCTGAGCTTTAAAGCTGCCCTGCATCTTATCTATGAGAAATGAAAATAGACCAAAAAACCCACGGGTACTGACCTAGGGAACAAACTCCGTGTGTAAATATGATTTCTATGTCAAGGATGATGCAATTGAGATGAATGATGATGGGATTAGAAACCTTTTTAATAGTGGTAATAGCGTTTGATAGTTTTAAAAGTTTTCGACAACACTTTTATAGTTTTATACATATATCACTAACAAAAGTGGTGGTGTTTCCCATGTAAAAGTTGATGGGTCTTATCTGATGAACATACCATTTATTCCGAAACCTTTGCTCACAAGTTTACTTGGGTCTTATCTGCCTACGCAACCTAAAAGTAATGATATGAGTTAATTCTTCTGTTATGTTTCTTCCAACTCAGCACTATTCTCCCTTCAAAGCCATTTTGGTCTCTCTTCTAAGATACGACTGCTCCACATACCCTTGGAGACTTTAATGATTTAGAAAACTGACCCAGGAAGATTTTACAATTTCAGCCTATCCAGAACAAAAGTAAAGGGTGGAAGCACTGGATTGAATAGAATAGATACAGAAATGTTCTTTAAAAATAAACCCTATGCTGACATAGCAGTCACAATCCATAAAAAAGATTTTCTGAAAACTTCTGTATAGAGTATTCACAACTGATTGCTTAAACTATATCACAAAAATGTATTTCACATGTACAAGTACACTGGTAACGCTTGCTAGGCAAGATAAGACTACACAGCGTGAATTAGTTAAAAAGGAATTTTTAAAAGTTTAACACTTTCCCAGCCATGTCAATTTGCAAAGAGCCATGTCCCCTGCCCAAGTAAATAAAAATATTGGAACTTTTAAGCTAAAAGCTTTATGCTAGGGCATACAAGTGAACAGTGATACTTAAAGATTAAATGTGAAATAAATTCCTGTCTCAGTCTACAGCTTATCAGTTTTTTCTCTATAAAACCCTTTCATTGTTTGTTTGTACCGGCTATGTGCACAACCTCCTCCCCTTCCCCCCCCCCCCCCCCCACCAATGAGACCCTCTCACATGTTCTAAATATACACCAGTACAGAGTGTCTTTGTGAGATAGTTAACTGAGAAAGCAATGTCTAACATTCATTTTAGTCACTATCATCTGAGTGAAAATGTCCCTCTACTTTACCTGGATTTCACTAGATTAATTGTCATCAGAATTAGCACCACTTTCAATAGCTTCTTCACAGCCCTTATCCATTAACTAAACTCATTTAATACCTCTCAGCTGAGTAGGATTGCGTTGCCATCGTCAATACTATTCACACAAACTTACCTACAAATGAGCACTAAGAATTAATGGTGTGACTTAGGTGTTACATTATAATCTTTTCAATTTTTGAGTGCTATTCTCCAACCCTTCCCGTTTTTGTGCAAAGGATGCCACTGTGATAAAACTTAATGGTCGTTTTCAACGAATCACTTCAAAGAGCACAATAAAGAATAATATATTTTCATCTTTAAAGAGTCAGTTTTTTTGTTGTCTCAGTGATATTAAAATTCGTCAGGCATGAATTTTCAGAGGAGGAACTTAATATACATTTAAACAATATAGCAGAAAAAGTAACCTATAAACCAGCACAAATATTTACCTCTTTTGGACAACCATTGGAGAAGCATTCTGGCACTCATTAATCTACTATGTTCTTTCCGCTACCAATTTATTACAACAGACTCATCTTGGCCACCCAAAGCGCAATTTCCCCAAAATTCATCTAACAAAGTAAGACTCCCAGATTACTTCCAAATAAACATAATTTTCTTTTCATCGCTTTACAATGTTAACAAGTAGGCCTTACACTTCAAACTCAAAACTTGTCATATGAATTTTCAATTCTGAGATTCACATATATATGAATTATATTATAAACTCATCCTTACCAACAGTACACCAGTTATGGCACATCAAAACCAGAGCTTTCACTAAAAGCAGGTCTTACAGCAAAGAGAGAACAGTATGCTGATGTAAAAGAAAATGCAAAACAAAGGCATGTTGGACATGAGTTTGACAACAATTTGAAACATTACAGTAATTACTATAAATTATCTTTTTACACTTATTCGAAGTGCTGGTCTCAAACATGATCTATTTAAAATTAAGATTTACCAGGTGTTATTTTTTTGATTAAAAGAAAACAATGTTTTCTTATGTATTTCTAGTGTAAAACACTAAACAAGTAATTACAAAATGGTATCGTACGTTGACAAGAAATTGAGCAATGCATTACGCATGACCACAAGCCACTAGGAAACGTGTCTAACATGTAAAACACAACATATGTATACACTAGAACTCTTTCTAAGTTAGTGATCTCTCTCTTGATAACATCCGTATCAATAATGTTTTCACAGCACAAGAGCACAAGTAGAGTTAACAACTGTTGGAATCACTCAAAACTCTGCAGGAACCTAGTCACACACTCAGGGCACTCCTTGCATGTACAGACATTAGAGGCAGTTTCTACAGCTTTCTCTTTCAAACTACTAGAACTCTTGTCACTTGCACCAGAAGACTTGGGTGTACTATCACTTTTTATCACAACTTTGCTACTCTCTATCATCTTGCTAGATGAACTGGAAGCTGTCGGTTTCACCTTAGACACAGCCTGTGCTTCTGACCCTTTTGAATGCATACTGGCAGCCTTATTACTACTTGAAGATGAGTCACCTCTTTTTAAAACAAGTGTCTCAGATTCACCACTTAAAGCTAATGCAAACGATTTGGGCTTGACTGCCTCAACACTGTTTTCAGTCTCTAACTTTTCAGAGTGGTTTTTTGGTTTATTTGCACTCTTCGGATGTGGCACTAGCTTTTTGGTAACAGAACCATTTCCTGACCGTTTTGGATGTGACTGCATATGAACATCCAGGTCAGACTTATGAGCAAATGCCTTGCTACACATCTGACATCGAAACAGACCATCTTGATTGTGAGTCTTTCGATGAACAGAGAGCATGTTTCTTTCCTTGAAGCATTTGTGGCATATGTCACATTCAAAAGGCTTTTCCGCAGTGTGAATACGAACATGGTCCAATAATGCTGGTTTAGACGGAAATATCTGTCCACATTCACCACATTTAAATTTCTGTTTTGTACCCCCGAGCTGCTCCTTATTGCCTTTTAGTGAAACAGTTACAGATTTAGGCGATGTCTTGTCCATTGAACTTTTTTCACCGCCAGTATGATGGCTATACTTGGAATCCGCATTGGCAGCTGATTGTGGAAGTTTATTTGATGATAATTTACTGTCTTTTGGAGTTGATTTTAGCTTTTGGTCATCAGTCTCCATTTCATTCATGTGGTCTTCTACATGAGCTAACAGATCTTGTTTAGTATGATACCGACGTGGACAGTATCCGCAAACAAATTTTGGAACTTCTGTGTCAGAGTCAACAACTTCCCCTTTCACTACTTTGACACTGTCTTTATTTTTCATGTTTGCCTTCTGCTTCAGTTCCCTTTTCACTGTGTCACTATTCAGACTCACAACTAATTGCTTGCTCATACCCGCAGTTTTCAGAGCATTCATCTTACTCTTTTTAACATTTTGTTTTACCTTTGCCTTTTTTCCTGGGAATGCATTCTTTTGGGCTAATTTAGCTGCAGAGGCAGAACTAGCAGTAGAAAAGTATTTCTCCATTAAGGACAAAGGTTTGGCATCTGCTTGATCTGTATCTTCTGTTTCTTCAATAGGCTCATCTTTGTCCTCAATGTCCTTCAACTCCAGACCTGCAGTAGCTTCATTCTTCAGCGAAGAACCTTCTGTGCTTGGCGCAACCTTTACTTTCTTGCCACCTTTTTTCTTTTTCTGATTTTTTGGTGCCTTTTTAGAACCTTTTACTTTCTCGAGTTTCTTTTTCCTTTTTCTGGGAGCAGGATCATCTGTAATACCAGAGACTATTTGTGCTTTAGAATCCGAGCCCAGTTTGATAGAAATTTTCAGCCCCCCACTTCTCTTTTCTTTTATCTGCTTTTTAAGACTGACTTGAGCATCCATAACTTCCTCATTTTCCATAACTGCTGCTTCCTCCTCATCAACAAAGTAATCAGCATCTTTTGCATCACTTTTTTCATCCTCAGTTGAGTCATCGTCCTCACTGATGCCTTCTGCTTCAAGACTTTTATCACTCAAGTCCTCAGCATACGACTGTTGTTTTCTTTTGCGGCCTCTGCGACTGACTTCAGCTGGTGCAACAGGTGGAGCGGGGTCCTCTTGAACTTGCGAGACACCCTGATAACCGGTGTCTGCTTGCAGTTCGATGAGTCGCATAGCGTTATCCTTGGACTTTCTATTGGAGCACCTTCTTGGGGCAACGTCTGCCTTTCCTCTACCAGGTGATCGTTTTTGAGGTCCTGGTATTTCAGCAGATTCATTGTGAGGGACGAGATCCATGGTGTTCATAGATGCCTCAAGCGCTGATTCTGTTTCTGCACCCCCAGCTGGTCCATTAGCATTGATGGCTGCAATGTATGCTTGCCTTACTCCTCCTGTAGCTCCACCCCTTCTACCACCTCTCCTACGAGGTGCACCAGTTTGTCCGGCACCTCTTCTCTTTCTGCCCCTTCTACCTCTAACTGAGACAACCACAGGTTTCAACAAAACTTCACTCACATCATTCTGTATGGGCAGCATTGCTGTCGATTCTTCATCAGTTTTGTTCTCAGATGAACCTTGTGTGTCTTCAGTTTTTATCACAACACCTTCATTATGCAAGTCCACAGGTTTTTCGTCATTTCCAACTAAATCCTCCACTTTCACATCATCACTACCAACTTTTGCGACAGGATTCAACACATCATTAATAATGGGCTGTGCACTTTCAAGACCTAATTGCGGGTCTTCTTTAGCTGTACAAGCTTCTATGAAGGAATCTGCGCTGTGTTCAGCACCAGAGCACAACTCGGAAGACTTGTCTCCAATAAACAACTCATCATTAGCAGAGCCAAAGCTCAAGTCATCTCCATCTGTTTTGAGATCAAGTTCACTACTCCTAGCTTGGACCTCTTCAGGAAATGTATGCTCAAGACCACTTTTCACACTGTCAAACCCGTCAGACACGGCCTCAGAAACCCTGGCAGGAGCAACAGAGGCTACAGTCTTACACTCCGCGGCTGTTTCAAGCCCAGCAGTCACAGGGGGATTTGATGCCATTTCTACTGGCTCTGCTGAAACAGACTCAGTAGAAAATGAGAATAGGGAAGCATCTCTTCCATAAAAATTAGATTTTTTAGGAGTGCTTTTAGGGGGCTTGCCAACCATTCCCACAATGGGGGTAGTCAGAGGAGGTGGTACCTTCGTTTCTGATGTCCCCACAGAACTATCACTAGTACTGTGTGACTTACTGCTCTCAAAACCTGGAGCGGACTTTGTCAATAAGCTCTGCAATAATGGAAGGCGTTCCCCGCTACCTTTAATGTCTGCAAAAACGCCATTTCTATCCATTTCAGACTCTTGCTTAACAACAGTATCTTTCTCTTGGCTGCCACTTGCAGCAGTCCTGGAATTAAGCGGTGTTGTCATGTCTATGGGTACATCGGAAGGGCTCAGCATGGTAGCTGATGAACCTGGAAGAGGCTGGCTACTTAAATTGAGAACGTTAGGAGTAGAAATTGAAATGGTTGAGCTTTGCTTCCCAACTCCAAGTCCCATGCTATTTGCGGAAATTTCACTAGGGAAGGAGGAGGTGGGCTGCTGTGTGGGTAGAGACCTCATGGGTGTGTGGAGAGGAGTCTTCAACAAGAGCTCAGCAACTCGACCTGGAGCATGACTGGAATTTTGTTGGGATGCCAGATGAGACTCTGATGCAGGAGGTGAGACTGGTGAATAACTGGATGGCTGCATTAAAGGTACATTCGTGTCGACAGTCAGAGTTTGGAGACCAGCCGAGCTGTCAGACTTCAAACTTGTCTTTGATAAATCCATGAACTGATTCAGCTGCAGAGGATTCATCCTGTCTGCGACAAGGTGGTCAGGGTGTGTGAAATGTGGATATTCACTCCGAACGTTTGTGGAATAGGTACTGGACGTTGGTGAGAACTGACCTCCTGGAAGACTGATACTAGGTATCGCGGGTTGACTGCCAGCTCCTCGGCCCAACACTGCAGACAGGCTGTCTTGCTGGGGTTTAGAAGCAGAGTGCATCTCAAGGGGGCCGTACCTATGAGGCTGTCTCAGAGAAGAAGGATTATCCAGAGTGCTCATGGCTGCCAAGGAAGGGTCCAGGGAAAACAGGTGCGACCACGCAGATCGATCCCCTGAGACGTTGTGGGGGGACGTGAGAGCATTTAAGTCATTCTGAGTCTTTGGCACAGTCAGGAGGCTGCTCTGTTGATGGACTGACAAGACTTGCTGGGGCAGGCCATAACTGCTCACTGCTGCACCTTGATGTAGAAAACAGGGATGAAAAGATGGTGAGTGTAGATATACAGAGACACAAATGGACACGTCTATAGTATATCCCATGAATTCTCGTCTTCCCCAACAATTATTTAAACATTGCAAAAACAATACAGTATAATCCACTTATATCAACAGCTGATGTAACGATATCTTGACATATCGACACATTTTCCAATTATGAAATTTTTCCTTCAATATCTTCACTAAACAATTCCTCTTATGTTAATTTTTTTTCGGCCCTTTCTGCTTTATCGACATGCTTCCTCGGTACCTAGCAAAGCCCATGAACATAAATGGGGGCAAGTGCCACGGTCAGCGAGTTAGTGCCTCGTCTTTCCATTTTCTCCAGCAAACAGCCGTAAATAGGCCATACAAGGATGCTACAACAAAGTTTGCGCTGGTGTGTAGTGCGCGCCTCGTCTTCGGTACCGTAACTCCACCCCCCCCCCCCCAATCTTGTTAGTTTCACTGAGTAATTGTGTAAGAATCAAGGGGAGCAACCAGCTTTAAAAAGTAGTGTTGTCTATTTACCGCTGACCTCCCCTTGTTTTTCCTCTTTGGCTTTATATTTCATTTATCGAAAATTTTATATATTGACATCAAATCCATTTCCCAGAGCATGTCGACATAAGCGGATTACACTGTAAAATTCTACACTAATTCATTTTTATCAATGACCCCCAACCCCCACACTTCACAAATAAAGAAAACGTATTATAGACATATACAATAATTCTAAGGCGTTGACCAGCAAAAACAGTACCGAAATTGCAAACCCTATTCTTCTTCCTCTCAGGAAGACAGACTTTTTATTATGAAAGCAAGATTCTCAAAAAAAGGCCACCATATTCATTTTCCAAAAGGTGGTTTCACCCAGCTAGCTTTTTTAAAGTAAGAGTTTACTGTACTTGCAACACAAATACAGTGGAGTTTGCTTAAACCAAACAATAATTAACACCAAAAAAAACCCCAGCGGTAAACTGAAAAACAATAGAATCGCAGATTTCTTTTTTTCCTTTTATTTCAGCAACCTCTCTCAGCCAAAAGCCCTGCTAAATCAAAGAAAATCTGGTGGTTCCGCAGATTTCAGTTTATGCGAATTCTACTAGAAGGCATAAGTGCTGAAGATTAGAGGTGTTACTAGAATATAGTGTACAAAGTTACAAAGAAAAGAAGGAGGAAAGATAAGGATGGTAGCAGAGGTTTGATAGGAAAGGAGCAAACCATACCACAGCACCTGCAAACCATCCACACCTAGTTGGATAAAATGGAACAAAATATTTCAACTTGAACTTCTCAACCTTCAAAACTACTAAAAAAAGCAAGCAGGAATGGTGAATTAACAGATTGAATTTGCACAAAATTAAAGCAACTAGAACTTGACAGGTACTACATTACACACACAAAAATCTTGTGACCAAGTCTCGTATTTTGGACTGTACTTTGTTTAATGATAACCATAAAGTATCATAATCAAGGAAAAGGTAACCCTCCATCTCAAAAAGCAAAGTAAAAATCACAACTGTGAAAAATAAAACAAAGTAAAAAAATATCCAAACAAAGACAACAAGCAGACAAATCCTCCCCAGATAGAGCACTGCAACATGGAAACAAGGTGGAACATATTGACCTCTACTCTCTACTTCACCAAATGCAGACAACAACTGACAAAACAAAAGATGTGATGGTACACATAAAGTATTTCCAAGGACCCTAAATTGCTGGACACATCAGAAATCTTTAAATTTACTGGTTCTGAATACAAATTTCACTTTTGTTTTGTTTATGGAAGTGTTTTACAGCGGTTGCAACTGCATAAGGTCATATGAGCGTGCGGGACACATTAAACATTTTCTGTTTGGAAAGAAATAATTTCAAATTCTGCCCGCGTTGCGACTGAAGCCTACTTTTGTCGATTTTGGATTTCGTAAAAAAAAAACCACAATAAAAACTCCTATGAAATTCTTGTTAATGTGATCAATAGCATACATCTGCTTCTCTGTAATCTGTAAGCTAGGGCTGGGCAAGTACCCGGGTAGTTACAGGGTACCCGGGTAAAGAGCTCAAAACCGGCTACCCGGGAATTGGTGTCGGGAACCCGGGTTTCTACTCCCCTTTGTTAAATCCTATGCAAATGCTCTTAAATTACGTCCCTTTGTTTGAATCTTAATAAGTACTGACTACTTATTGATACTGAGCTCTCTTAGTCGATACAGTACTTGATCGATATAGGCCACTGGCAGTTCTTTTAAAGAGTGAGCTTTGCAAGCGCTTCACACAACTCTAGGACACATACTTAGTGGCAGCATCAACTATCCTCGACCCCTGTTTCAAACGGCTTCCTGTCAGTGAAGGCGCAGTGAAAAAAAATATTAACTCGCCTTTTTTCTGTGATTAGAGACAAACAAGGAGACAGAGCTGATCAAACACGAGGCTCATCATCGGTTTCAGAACCTCCAGCCCAAAAATCATTGGAGCAAGCATTCGACGTGCAAGCAGACAAGTATAGAGGCAAAGGTCTCTGCCACAAACAAGTGCCACAGTCCAACTGAATCGGTACTTTGAGATGCCCCGGGCCAGAAGGGGAGAGGACAATCCACTGACCTGGTGCGGCCAACATAAAAAAGCTTTTTCGGAACTCAGCCAGTGAATTGATTTCTTCAAAGAGGACCTGCCTTGGTGAAAAACTTGTGGACAAACTTGTTTTTAAACAAAAATTTGAAATGATTGGCCCCCAGTCTCCCAGTCAAACATGTGTAATATGTTTTATCTGTCTTCCTTGCCTTTTGTTTATGTCGTTAAGTCATTGACTTCATTGAGAGTTCTGTTTGACTTCATTGACAGTTCTGTTAGGCCCATTGTCTTCCCAATTTTTGTGGACGCTTATTTTGTTGTGTCCAATTTGTTTTGATTTCGAAAATAAAATCAAAGTAAAACTATAAACAAAACAAATCCCCCCCCCCCCCCCCCCCAATTAAAAATAATAAAATAAATGAAATGTCGGGTATCGGGTATTTTTTTCATTATCCGAGTATTACCCGCGAAATCCCGGCCCAATTGTACGCATACAAAAGAGTAAAACATAATTTTAAAATTACAGAGTGATTGGTACAACCCACCAGCAATATTATATTACAGGCTTTGAGTCTAACAAGCAAATCATTACGCTCATAAGATACTGCCATTTTGAGAAAATTTAATAAATGAGAAAAAACTATTTCTTTCTCTAATTGACTATGAAATGCTTGAATTTTGGGGCACTCAATTGATTTTATACTTGGATTATTCTTTTGTCCAAGTGAACTATTATGAAGTAGGCTCTGCTCTTCATTTCAGAACCAAAAACTCCAAACTGGTCAAAAATGACGTAGGCAATTATTTTATAAGCGTGACAAAATAAACCAATACAATTTGACTGTGCTAGAAAACAACAACTAATAAAGAAATCATATACAGACACCGAAAAGAAGTTACAATCACAAATGGCTCCCACAAACCATATACATGTTCATGTTGAGTAATTCAAACTTTCTGAACTTCTACAATTCCACATCCAATTATTACAACATCTCTCCCCTTTCTTAAGCACTCACCAGTAGTAAACACAGGTGGGAGCGATTGCGGGGGAAAATCTCTAGCTGCAGCTGGCACACCATGACCCTGATACAATGAAGCAGGAAGGCCCGAGTGTGTAGAAGGTATATGATCTGCCTGTAGCTGCTGAGCCCACAGCTCTAAGGGTAGACCCTCAAAGCCATCAAAACTATCTCTGTTGTCCATGCTCTGGAAGACAATTGAACAGAGAAAATAATAGGACAGTGACAAAAATTGATCACACACAAACACACAGCAATTATATTTTTCTTAGGAACAGCACAGGATGACTAAGCAGCAGATCACAAGGGAAGTAGAATTACACATACTTCAGAAACAAGAAATATTGATTTGGCTTTAAATTATGCCCTGAGCACCCATCCTTGTTAACTCCAGGGAAGCATTGATTCACTGGGGAGCCTCAGAGAGGTAGCTAGTAAAAAAGACATATATTCAAACAAAGAAGACTATTGAATAAAGAGATGCCTGATGACATGTGAGGAATAGCAGAAATAAAAGCAGGCCTGAAGTGTGTCTGACTCTGGCTACACATAATCAAGAAAATTGATCCGACAATGGCATATTTATGTAGTCATAAAACATTAAATATTGTGAAAACCACCAATGTTCTCAATAAAAAGATGCATATGAACACAATTGATGTAGTTAAACACAAAGCAAGGAGATAAAAATTTGTAAAAAAAAAAGGAAAGAAAATAGGAAAGAAAGGAAGAAAGAAAGAAAGAAAGAAAGAAAGTAAGAAAGACTAATGCTATTACGTTTACTAACTTTTTGGGGTTAATTTTGAAAAAATTGAACCCTGGTACAATCTCACGTTGTTCTTCGGTGTATGAATTTCTGGCCTAACATCAAATAAGATAGATAGATAGATAGATAGATAGATGGATAGACAGACAGACAGACAGACAAACAGACAGACATACAGTCAGGGAGACAGAGACAGTGAGTTAGAAGAGGGCAAAAAAATGAATGAATGAATGAAAGAAAGAAAAAAAGAAAGAAAGAAAGAAAGAAAGAAGGAGGGAAGTTAGAGAAAGAAAGAAGAAAAAGAAAGAAAGAAAGAAAGGAAGGAAAAAAGTTTTAAAAAACGACTTTTATTATTTTCCAACTTTTTGGGGTTAATTTTGAACGATTTGAACTCTGGCACAATCCCACGTTGTTTTTCAATGTGTGAACATCTGGCCTAACATCAAATAGCATAGATAGATAGATAGATAGATAGATAGATAGATAGATAGATAGATAGATAGATA